GACAGCTTTTCCCTCTTTGAACCAGCTTCTTCTCTTGCAAAACAGGTTTAATAATACTTGTCAACTCCTTAAATGCCTGGGTTTTGTACTCTGAGTTATTTCACTGACAGGTGTTACCAGAACAACTTATCAATTGCTTTTAACTTCTTGACAATGATGTGCCTGTTACAGATTCTCAGAGATGATTCATATCAAAGGAAGGAATGACCTGGTGAAACAGGGATAAGAAGCGTTTTGACCAAAGAGGTTACACTGATACTGGCTCCAGCCAAAAGTCAAGGAATATGCTGCTTTTTGGCTTTTGAATTCCATCCTTTCCTCTTCTGGCTGTAAGCTTCTGACACTGTACACCCCTGTTAACAGGGGATTGTACCATTAGTGATCACCCAGTTAACATTCATTATGCTCATTTATTATTCCTACTGCCTGTATTTTTCAACCATATCTATTCTTCCCAGCATTTGTGTATGTCACATTTACAAGCATGGGGTAATTCCCAAACCAAGCTAGTGATACCTATTTCTACCTCTGTAAAAAGAACTTAGCCTTGCAGCTAAAACTTCATTTTGCGGTGCCTAACCCTAAATTTGCATATATACACGTATGATTTATTTAAGGAAATGAAACATGAATTATGCTTTAGCTGGTTCTTAACTGATTTTGATTTCTAACTCATATCTTTGTCTAGCTAACAAGCCTGTGGTTAAAACGTCATTTTGTCTGAAGATGCAGCTACTCTTGAATTTATAGAATAGATAAACAATACTCTAGTCAGAAGTGGCCAGCCTTTCAGAGTGTCATATACTTGACCTTTATTTATTTAAATTTTGCTTATGTGTGAGAAAGTGTGCTAGGCATTGGGAGAGCCAGTAAAGCCAAGCATGTTATGCTTTTCTCCCACGTTGTGGTCTTACATGGCTTTTCATTCACATCTCTGTTCAAATGTTACCTCCTTGGAGAGGCCTTACCAGACCACCTTACAGGTGAGATACCCCCTTCCTAATTGAATTTTTGTATTCATTCATTCATTCTGACAAATAACACTAGGATTTTGGATCAGATCCAGCCTTTTGATTACTCTTAATTGTGTTAGTTCTCCATGTCCCAATCCCCTGTGGGGTGACATGATGAGAGAAACCTTTAAATCATGAATTTTGGGAGTTGATGTAGGACAGCTGACACAGCTGCTGCTCTTCCTCCCCTCTCGGGTGGGGTGGGGCAGAGAGAGGGAGGGAGGGAGGGGAGAAGAATATGACCTACTGACTTTTGCTCTGTAATGTAAACAAATCCGCTTAGGGGAAAGGAGGGGGAGGTCTTTAGGTTTACAGTCCCTAGAATGTAAATAAATGTATCCAAAGAAAAAGTCTCTAAATCTCTCCAGAGATCTCTGACTTGTACAGTTTGTTTGCTGTTCAAACATTCTTTAATCCAAGTGCCAACCTTCTTTCTCAGGAAGTCATGATCATGCACAAATGTGAAAACATTCATGGAGCATCGCATCCCAACAATTTTCTTCATAGCAATATCATTGCCCAACGTTACAACACTCACTTATTTCTTTCCTCTTGCCCTAGCTTCTTTTGGATTAATTGTATTCCATTTCTTCTTCACTATTGATGTGTTATTAACTCCACCTCTTTTTTTCTATTTTTTATAAGTGACTGATCTAGGGTTTATTTATTGTAGTGCAAGTTTCTAGTAATAAATTCTCTTGGCTATTGTTTTCCTGTCTTTATTTCCCCAACATATTTGAAGGATATAGAATTTTATGTTGACAGTTTATTTTTCCAGTACTTTAAAGATTTCATTTTTTTCTGGATTACATTGTTTCTAATAAGTCTGCAGTCAATCTTTTCTCCCCTTATGTAATATGTATTTTTCCCTCTGGTTGCTTTTAAGAGTTTCTAATTGGTTTGCAGGAATTTGATTACAGTGTGCTTTGCTATGGTTTACATTATGTTTATCCTACTTGGGGTTCATTGAAATTCTTAGATCTATGTGTTTATATTTTTCATAACATTTGAAAGAAATTCAGCCATTGTTTCTTCAAATAGTTTTTGTGCCTCTCCCACTCTTTTTTTCTTCTTAGATTCCATTTACACATGATAGACTGCTTGTCTCGTATCACAGAGGCTCTGTGCATTTTGCTCAGTCAATTTTTTCCTCTACGCTTCAATTTAGATAATCTCTATTCACTGTCTTCAAGTACAGTGATCCTTTCTTCTCTAATGTCTACTCTGTTGATAAGCCCATCGAATGAATTTTTCATTTCAAATACTGTACCTTTCATTTCTTAAATCTCTATTTGGTTCTTTTATACGTCTTCCACTTTTCTCCTCATTATGTTCAAGTTCTTCTTTAAATCACTGAGCATATTTACAAGGGCTCTTCTAAAATTCCTTTCTGTGAATTCCATCATCCCTGTCATTTCTGTGTTGGTTTTGACTTTTTTTCCCCTCGGTTATGGATAACGTTTTCTTGATTCTTTGCACGTCTAATGACTTTTGATTTAATGCGAAACATTGCAAATGTTACATCGGGTGTCTTAATTCTATTGTATTTTTCCAAAGGGTTGAACTTTTTCAGGCAGTTAATTTGTGGATCTGTTTGATCCTTTGAGGAATGTTTTTGAGAGTTGTTACAGTGAGTTTAGAGTACCTTTACTTTAGGGCAAGTTCACCCCTTCTAACTAAATTGTGATCCTTCTTGGATCTTCACTGAATGCTCCAGGGGTTCAACAATGTCTCTGGCTGGACAGAACTCAACACCTCCCATTCCTGTACAATTTCTGGGACATGTTCAGCTTAGAGCTCTCCAGTAGTTGCCCAGCTTTGTGGAGTTTCTATGTATGTCCATTTAGCATTTAGCAACAGACTCAAGGGGACTCCTTTGCAGATTTCTGGACCTTCCCCTGATTAGCTCCTTCTCTTCCAGTATATGTTCCCATAAATCCTAGCCACCGTAGTCTTCCTAAGTTACGAACTCAGTTTTCTCAACTCACTGATGCTGCCATGCTTCCCTTGAGTTCCTCCTCTCTGTGCGATGGTCAGTAACGTGCCTCCAGGACTTACCTTGTTTGTTTCCTTTCTCTTCTGGATAACACTACTGTTGTCCAATATCAGAAACAGTTGCTTCATATGTTTTGTCCCATTTTCTGGTTGTTTATGGTGGGAAGGTAAGTCTTACACTAGTTATTCTAATATGGTCAGAAGTAAATATTTTTGAATGAATGTTCTACACCTTAAAAGACACTTAGTTGGGATGACAGAATCCCACATACATAATAAATCATACAGGGACTTCCTTGGTGGCACAGTGGTTAAGACTCCATGCTCCCAATGTAGGGGGCCCAGGTTCTATCCCTGGTCAGGGAACTAGATCCCACATGCATGCCGTAACTAAGGGTTCACATGCCACAACTAAGGAGCTGGCGAGCTGCAACTAAGGTGCCCACCTGCCACAACTAAGGAGCCTGACTGCTGCAACAAAGACCCAGCACAACCAAAAAAAAAAAAAAGAAGAGCAAAAAAGCATACGGCTCCGCATTAAAAAACAAAAAATCATACAATGAGGTGAGAGCAGGGCAAAAGTGCTATGTATGACTGTAGCCCAAGTAGAATGGTTATTAAACAAATGTGGTCAGAATAACAGGGACAAAACAGGCTCACATCTCTCTTCAGTCTTCCAATGTGGGATAGAGGACTGAGTACAGAAGGTACCAGAGGCATACAGGTCAAAGTATTAAAAATATAAAAACTAAAACACCATCTAATGTCAACTAATCTTTTTGAATAATTATATATATATATAAATATATATATATACCTCCTTACTCCCAGCTGAGAAAAGTCCTGGAGAAAGGATAAAAGCTTGGATAGGGAGGTGCTGAATGAGCTAATTTTGGAACTACAAGGTGCAAGAGGAGAGGGCAGGAGAAATACATATATGTATGTGTATGGGGGATTAGCGAGTGGGGACTGGACAACTATAGGATGGCATAAAGGTATGTGGGACAATCAGGATGCAGAAAAAAAGGAGCAGAAAGAATTGCTGAGACATTTATCAAAGTTCCTGATGAAAAATGTTTTAATTCATTGAAGAAGACAAGCAAAGTATGACAGTGTCAAATAACTATAAACCAAGATTTTATTTTCTATTTTGCCAATTAATTATAGTAAATTTTAAAATTCAAAATGACTCCTGTCACCACATTGTAATTATCTCTAGGCTAGTTCTTCCTGCCATCCGCTGGTGTAGGTAAAAGAAATATAAATGGAATTAATTTTATTGTAAGCAAAATATGATCAGAAGGCTAAATCAGCACACAAAAGTAATGTATTCTGGAATCAGTTATTAAAAACATTAATTTACCTACTATGTTTGGTTTTTAGTGCTCATGCTTCTTTCACATTCCCATCATCACGAATAATCAAGAACTGATTATATTGTATTTGAGCTTCACAATACATTTGTAAGACGGGTCAGGATAGGCATTATCATCATTTCTGTCTTAGGAAGGAAGTGAGAACTCAAAAAAGTAATGGCTTATCAAAATGTACACAGCTGTTAGGTAGATGAGCCTAAATCTGAATTCTGGACTTAGGATGCCACTGCCATGGTCTTTAAATCATTCTGTGCTACTTTCTTTGACAATCAACTTTCTCTCAATTTTTTTAAATGAAAACTTTAAAAATCTACTCTCTTATCAATACTGTATTGTTAACTATAGTCACGCTGTTGTACATTACATCCCTGTCACCTATTTATTTTATAACTGGGAGTTTGTTCCTTTTGGTCCCCTACCCGTTTCACTCACCCCCACCCCTACCTCTGGCAACCACCCATCTGTTCTTTGTATCTATGAGCTTAGTTTTTAAATTAAATACATTTTTTTTAAGATCCCACATATAAGTGATCTCAAACGGTATTTGTCTGACTTATTCCACTTAGCATAATGCCCTCTAGGTCTAATTCTTCTTCTTTTTTTTCCCCTGGATTAGCACCTGCTTATTTTTCAAGACTTGGCTCAGGAGGCATCTTATCCAGGAACTTTCCCCTGTTCTTCCACAGAACCTGCAGGTACTTAGCACACCATACTACAATGATCTATCTTTGTGTCTGCCTTCTTTGGACTATAAATTCCTCAAGAGCAATGACCATGTTATACTAATTGCAGTATCCCTAGCACTTAGCACGCTCTCAGTATTTCAGCATTACGTACAAGTAATCAAAATACTGGAGCAACGTTCATCACAAAAGCCCACTTCACCTTGCTCTCCCTAGAATGCAGATACTAGGGTACGAGGAGCTGGCCAAGTAATGGATTGCAAAAGGGACTGCTTAGTAATACCAAACAATAGGTGCTCTTTCTTTGTCATACGTAATTTACCTTTTAACATATATTTTCTTTGAAGGGACCAAAATTAGCAAATTTCCCATGAATGATTTCATTTGAATTTAGGGAATTCAGTTGACAGAAACATGTTTAATGAAACATTAATTTAAAGACTGACTGGTAACTGATAAGCAACTTTGAAGACCAATTTAAGGAGCAGAAAGAATACTGAAGGATGATATTATATTCCTCTACTATTGGGAACGCACGATACTTCTTGGACCAACATTCCTCTGGCTTTTACTTTCCTGAAAAAGTGACTGCAAAGAGACTTTTCTGTTCTAAATTTGACAAGTCAAGAAGCTTCTGGTGGAAGGCAGGTTAGAGGGTACCGTAATATGTCAAACACATGTAACCTTTTCTAGGTACAGTATAAAATTTTGGCCTTTTTTTTTTTTAAAGTAATCTAGGTCCAACATTTCATCCACTTTGGATCGAAAAGCTTCTAAATTCACTTATGCCACCTTCCAATTAAAATCTTTTGAGAATTAAGCAATCATTTCCTGACTTGCCAAGGATTAAATTTAGATGTTTGGTTGAACATGAGCCTTACCTCTCCAGCCATCACTTTTAACTGGAGCATGTAAAAGGATAACACAGGGTTTTAGTTGACATCATAGTCTATTGCCATGGAAATGTAAACATGGGTTTGTATTAAGCTTGTCTCAAAACAAGTTTTAGGGGTACAGAGAGATGGAAGACAAGAGATAAATTATGTAAAATGGATCCTCTCAATGTTGGAGTGCCCTCGGAGCGCAGACCTCAGTGATCTCATCCTGCCTCATGGCTTTAAATACCATCTATACACTGATGACTCTCAAATTCATATCTCCAGCTAGATCTCTCCTCTGAACTCCAAACTCATATATCTAACTGTCTTCTTGACCCCTTCAGCTGGATGTCTAACAGGCATCTCAAATCTCACACGTCCAGCCTGAGCTCCTGATACTGCCCTCTCCCTACGCAACTTGCTCTGTCACAATCTTCTACATCTCAGCACACATCAACTTCCCCTTCCACTTGCAGAGGGCATAGAACTTGGGGTAATCCTTGACCTATCTCGTACTCCTCAGCAAATCCTGTCAGCTCTACCCTCAAAATATAATCAGAAGATGCCCACTTCTCCCCACTTGCACTGTTTTCAAGCTACCATCATTTCTTGCCTGGATTATTGTAATTAACTCTGACCTGGTCTCCCTGTTTGTGCCCTTGCGGGTCATATTATGTCGCTTGTCTGCTCAAACCCTCCACTGGCCTTTCATTTCATCCAGGGTAGGACCCAATGTCCTTTAACCATCAATTGCCCTCCCCTCTCCCTTATTTTCTTCTTCAGCTACACTGGACTCCTTGTAGTTCACTGATAATAAGAGGTCTGCTCCTGCCTCAGGGCCTTTGCATATGCTCTTCTTCTGGTTCTCTGTATGGCTTGCTTCCTTTCTTCCTTTAGGTCTTTACTCAAATCACCTTCTCAGTGAGGCTTTCTGTGGCCAATGATCTAAAATTACTACTTTCATCCCCCTTTCATGCTTTATTCTCCTCCTCAGCATTTATCTAACAGAGAATGTATTTTACTTATTTCTAACTGATACTGTCTCTTCCACTAGAATGTAAGCTCCATGAGGCAAGGATTTTTTGCTGTGTTTTTCATTGCTGTATCCTCTGCACCTTGGGAAGTCCAGAGGCACATGGTACAAAATCAATAAATATTTGCTGAATAATTTTTAAAATGGGTGACACATGTCATAAGAAATAAAGATTAGTGAAAGCATGATTAACCAAGGTCTATGAGCCTAACGTCTAAAAAGTTTCATCTGTTGTTAGGTTCTCATGGGAATCTGTCTTTGGAGGAACTTCGACTTAATTTTCCACAAGAACAGACTTGATTTCTCTTATCTCTGCAATGTGGAACTTCAGAGATGATTGTTCAAGGAGGAAGAGAATAATGATAAATACAGGTGGGTATTAAATAATGTTCATTGTTTGTCATGTTGGATGAGCTAATGATTTTTAAAAGTTATTAGTACATAGAGCTTACTATTCATAGTGGACTGAAATTAGAAATGAAAAAAGTTGCTCATTGATTGAATTAGCAGTGTCTGGCACACAGTAATGTAATATATAAAGTGAGTTGGACTTGGATGCCATCCAAGAGGGCTAAGTTACTGAAGTAGTTTTATTTCTGAAGTGATTTTACAGTATAGGCATGGGTGTCCAGGCTGGTTATGGTTAAACTTAGATAGGAAGTAAGGAACAGTAATGACGATACTATCTTTAGACCTGAACATTATAAAGTTGTTATTCCTTGAACATTATAAAGTTGTTATTCCTTGCCAGCTTACAAAGTAAACACTTAATGAATGCACAGACTATATGCCCTTAAATGAACTGTACATGAAAAGGGCAATAAATATGAGCCAGAGTTAGCGGTACAATGATATAATGGAAAGATAAAGGTTGAGGGGCTTCCCTGGTGGCGCAGTGGTTGAGAGTCTGCCTGCCAATGCAGGGGACACGGGTTTGTGCCCCGGTCCTGGAAGATCCCACATGCCGTGGAGCGGCTGGGCCTGTGAGCCATGGCCGCTGAGCCTGCACATCCAGAGCCTGTGCTCCGCAACGGGAGAGGCCACAACAGTGAGAGGCCTGCATACTGAAGGACAAAAAAAAAAGAATGAGAAACCTGGGTTCCCACTAACTGGCTGTATGATTTGGGGTGAGTCATTTAACCTCTCTTAATTACCTCATCTGTAAAATGTGGAGGATGGACTGCTAGGCTTCAATGATTCTCTAAGCTCTAAGTATTGTAAGATTTTTTGACTTTAATCACTGTGGTATGCAGAATTATGCCCCACCCCCAGACCAACCCTGCCTCAAAGATGTCCACATCCTAATCCCCAGAATTTGTGAATACGTAATGTTACATGGCAAGGGGGGAATAAAGGCTGCTAATAAGCTACCTTAAAATAACGAGATTATCCTGAATTATCCATTTGGGCGCAATGAAATCACAAGGGTTCTTAAAATATAGAAGAGGGAGGCAGAAGAGTGAGTGTAAGAGTTATGCCATTGCTGGCTTTGAACATGGAGGAAGAGGCCATAAGCTAGAATGTGAGCAGCCTCTAGAAGCTAGAAAAGGCAAGAAAAAGATTTCCTTTGGAGCCTCCAGAAAGGAACGCAGTCCTACAACTTGATTTTAGCCCAGTGAGACTTGTGTCAGACTTCTGACTTGCAGAATTATAAGTATTAAATTTGTATTGTTTAAGACATTAAGTTTGTGGTAATTTGTTACAGAAGCAATAGAAAAATAATACAATCATGATATGTACCATAACCAGTGAAGTTGGACCCAAGTTTATCATAGAAGCAGGCTTTTAAATAAAAATCCTATACTCAGGTATTTTGTAAAGATCTTCAGAGGCAGAAGTAATCAGAAAAGAAATCATGAAAAGTTTGTTAGCAAAGTCGTGGGAGAGAATCTATAGGGGAATAAAAGTTTTAATAGTGACTCATGTGAAGAGTAGAAACCTGGATATCTTATAAAGGAAAGAAAATGGCAAGAGAAGAGAAATTAGAAAGGTTATCCAGGGACTTCCCTGGTGGCGCAGTGGTTAAGAATCCGCCTGCCAATGCAGGGGACACAGGTTTGAGCCCTGGTCCGGGAAGATCCCACATGCCACGGAGCAACTAAGCCCGTGAGCCACAAATACTGAGCCTGTGCTCTAGAGCCCGCGAGCCACAACTAATGAAGCCCACTCGCCTAGAGCCCGTGCTCCACAACAAGAGAAGCCACTGCAATGAGAAGCCCGCGCACTGCTACAAAGAGTAGCCCCTGCTCACCCCAACTAGAGAAAACCTGCACAGTGACAAAGACCCAATGCAGCCAAAAATAAATAAATAAAATAAATTTATTATAAAAAAAAAAAGAAAGGTTATCCACAATGTAAGAGTTTCTTTGGTCCTCACTATACTCATCTATAAACTGAAGCGATTTAGAGATTATAAATAATCTCTAAATTCCTCTAGCTCTGAAATAAGCTTTTAAATCCTGACAGATGCTAACATGGGCATTTGAGACCCTGCCCTCCCCAAAGTTTGAAGAGTATTCATCTTAGAAAGTACTATAATTATCGTTAATGTGTGATGGTCAAGCTTCACAGAAAGCTCTGACTTAATTTAACAAGAAGGTGGCTCTGAATTCTAACCCTGGCATTCTTATTAAGGTAGGGTGCATGGGAAAATTATTTAGCTTTCTTTCTCTTCTGTACTTCACGTATAGAATTATGGTAAAATTTTAGCTAGATGGATTTTCTAAGGAATGAATTATTTTAGATATCGGAAGGTTTATTCCTTTATGTAACTAAATTTTAAGTATATTTGATGGAACTATTTCTAAAATAAAACACGTGCCCCATTTGTATATAAAATTTAACGATAACCATATTCCCTTTTCTTGAAAAGAGTCATCGCTAGTAACATCAATTACTATAGAGAGCTGTCAGACAGTGATGCTCTAGACAGCAGTCAGCAAACTATGGCCTGCAGGCTGATTTTGTAAGGCATAGTTTTCACATTCTGTACCTGTTAAGAAAAGAAAATAAAAAAGAATATGTGACCTAGACCAAATGTGGCCCAGAAAGCCTAAAATAATTACTATCTGGCTCTTTGAAGAAAGGTTTGCTGACTCTAGCTCTAGAGAAAGATGTGTATAGGCCTCTTCACCAAATGTCCAGAACTAGATTGGACTTTATGTTCTGTCACTAAAGGAAGCACATCTATCTTGGCACAGTGTAGCTCAAATATTTGCGGAAAAAAAAAGGCTCTTGGTGTTTTGTTTGTTTGTTTTTTTTTGCCACACTTGCACACCTGTGGGATCTTAGTTCCCTGATCAAGGACTGAACCTGGGCCCGCATCAGTGGAAGCGCAGAGTCCTAAACACTGGACTGCCAGGGAATTCCCCCAGGCTCTTGGCATTTAAAACTCTTTTGTTGTTTGTTGATACACTCTCCTCACTTCCAAGTTTTTGGTGATTACTATACCTGCCCCTTGCAGTCTCTCCCCCTTTCTAATTTCCACCTTTCTAATCTTGGTCTGGAAATGTGATAACCTAGTTTATAAACATTTTAAGCAATGTAAGATTAAGTTGGTTATGTGAAGGCCCTAAAACTATTTTCTAAGTAAAACACAGGTGATTTAGTGCAGGGATTTGGTGACTTATTCTGATTGTCCCAAGGCCTTTTTATTTAATATTTCCAGGTTCTCGGCTATCCTTTGGAAAAGCAAGGTTGCAGGACAGATAAAGTCTTACTGTAGTATGATCATTTTTTATTTTTATAATATAAAAATAGCATTATATCTAAAATGCCACTCACCAAAAAATTAAACTGAAGCAACCTGAATGGTAGGATTTCTTGGGATATGTTTTTTTCTCTTTATAATAAACATTGCTTTTACAATCAAAAAAGCCATTTTCATTAAAAAAAGATAAATTGGGAAGATCTCTTCATCCAATCTCACTGACCTAACTCAACTATTTTCATCTAGCATATTTTGTTTATTTGATCACTTTTTAAAAATCGTTGTAAATATTGTGCTTTACGGGTTTTTATTTTGACTCACACTTGGTTTGCCATAGGTAACCTATGGTTACTCTAATAGTGAAAAGTATGCGGTAAAGATGAAATGCGGGAAAGCCAACAATCAATACGGTGAAAGATGACCGCCTAAAATTTTGACCTCTGCTCCACTCATTTTATACACGTTCACACGAATAATACCCAATCTGGATAATATTATAGCTCAAAACACTTTAGTTCATTCAGTTTTCAAAACAACGCTGTGAGGCGGGCACATTCTCGGGGGTAAAATGACGTGGCCAAGGTCACTCGGCTAGCCAGAGTTCAGCAGCCTGGTCAAGAAAACAGGAGCAGGTCTTTGGAGGCGCTGCTAGTTACACTCGAGCTTTCCCTACAGCCCGGCCTTTCCGTTCCCTCATCTAGCAGTTACGTATACAAACTCAAACCCTGCCTCTTCTACCCTATCGAGGCACGCTGCGGGCTGGGGAAACCTGGAGCTCACACCACAAGTCAACATCCCCAAAGCCCCAGTGCCAAAGCAGTGAGAAGAGAGAGCGCAGTTCGCCCTTCGCTCCAGCCGCAGACTCTGCGTGAGGGCCCCGGACTAACCTGACCAGGTCGGTCATGCAGGAGCCCACCACCACCACCACCGCCGCCGCCGCCGCCACCTCCTCCTGCCACTGCCTCCCGGGCTTCCCAGACGCGGCCATGGCGCAAAATCGGCGCTCTCCCACCTGGAGGCTGCCCTTTAACCTTTGCCCGACACCGTAACCAGAGACCCAGCTCCCACGCTCCCTAACGACGCGGGCCTTCCGGACGCCCACGAGGGTCGCCCACCTGGATGCCCGAAATAACCCCGCCCACCTACTGCCCCCAGTTCTCCCAGGAATTGTCTCCCTGCACAGCATCTCGTTACACAGCCCTCCTAATCGTTCCACGCTCCGCGCAGCTCGCCGCGCACGAGGCAGGCGCGGAGGAAGGAACTTTCAGGCAGTGCAGGGACGCCCTTCCGAGCGCCCGGCCTGGTGCGGCCGGGGACGCGCACGCCGCCCGGCTCCTGGGCCGCAGAGGGGACGGGGCGGGGCGGGACGTCCGGGGACGCGCACGCATCTGGGCCGCGGTGCGCGCGCAGGTTGGTGCGTCGGTCGGGGGCGCGCTCGGGTAACCTGTACCCCCACGTAGTCGCCGGTTACCGATCGGACTAAGTTCCAGGTACCTGGACTGGGGCTGGTGCGGGGAGGTTGGATCCCGAGTCGCACAGGTGGCGCTGAGGACCGTGGTTTAAATATGCCCAGGGCTCGCCTTCTCTTCCTATAGAGAAGGCCCCTGTTCCAAAGATGCCCTGCTCATCCCCATGACGCTGGTCCCCTCAAGAACGAGCCCCCAAGGCCAGAGGCTGCTCTCTCCACACTTAGCCCGCCCCCTGGTCCCTGAATAAGCTCAGACTCCCTCCTTCCCGCCTGATGAGGGAATCATACAATTTGGGGGAAGGAAGAGCTTCCCCTTTTAGTTGTTCCCTTTTAGAGCGGGGTGGTCATTCTTTGGGTTTGAGCCGACTTGTTTTTCTTGAATGTTGCCCCTTGGAGAAATTGCTTCCCCAGTGTAACTTCCCTCGTGCGCTGTATGACGTCGACGTGACGCAGCAGGACGCCACCCCTTTCCGTTCCATGACGTAAGCTGGGCACATATTTCCGTGTTTGTCATCCCATCTTAATTGCAAGAAACTAGGCGATGCTTTAGACGTCTTTGTATTCCCCAGACTACCCATCAGAGGACCTCAGGTGACCCTATCTTGAGGCAGCAGACCCCTGTAAAAATTGTATTTCTGCATTTTCCTTGTGTATGTTATACGTCAAAATCAGGAAATAGAAAATGCACAACTAGCATTCAAGGGAGGCTGGCCACCGTAAAATTTTGACTATCTGGGATCTATTATTGTGCTTTGATGTGTAAAAGCTACTACTTGGGGGTGATCTCTCATCCGTGTCCCTGGCTCAAAAGCCAAAGAGCCATCATTTTTGGCTGTTTGGTGACCTCTGATTTTGGAGTCAGGTTTTTTTTTTTTCCCTCAGAGAAGTCACAACAGCTACGGTTGAAACATTTTAATGCTGCATGAAATCTTGCACTGTCAAAAGATAGTATTATGGCTGTTCTGGAAACAAAGACAAATTCATTCCTTCAGGTGTCATTCTAAGGTCATGAGAGTTGCTGAATTGGATGGGGTGTTGTCACCTGAAGTATAGTTTGGTTTCTGGAGCAGGTTTGTTCCCTTTAGCATTTGCCTAGTGAATCACTCAGGCCAGCTTCAGCAGTAGGCCAAGAGTAGTCTAATTTTTTCTAGTTGTCAAGCAACCATTAGTTTAAATTCATGACTTTTTGTTCATTTTACTAGATGTATGTGTTAAAAGAAACATAAATTCACTTTGATGCTTTTCTCTTTGGTGATTGAAGTTATGTTTATTTGAGAAGAAGATGAGTATAGTGGACTTTGAGAGAGATCTGAATTTGAATTCCGATCCTCTGCTTGCTAGGTTTGTGACTTTGAACAAGTTACTTAGTCTTGCCGAGTGTTAGTTTTCTTATCTGTGAAATGGGAACAATAATACTAATCAGAGAACAAGGTAGAAATTACAGATAGAGATGTATAATATAGTGCTTGATACTCAGTAGATTTTCAGAATGTGTTGGTTCTGTTTCCCTTTTTCATAGAAATGAGAGGTCAAATAATAATAGGTTTTGTGGGGAAATACATGGAAGAATAATTTTGTAATGTAGGTAAGGTCCTTTTGCTTTTTCCAAGATGAGTATTTCTGTTTTGCATATGATCTAGATAAGCATCCTTTCAAGAACTGTGACATCAGTGGGTAGAAATAAAAGTGGAAATGTTGCAGAATAGGAAAAAAATAGACTTCAAAGTGATAATATGGTCTAGTATACTATTAAAAGACAAATTATAAAAGTTATCCATATCATCTGTAAAATGGGAATTCTGATATATGCCTTACCGTCCAGAGTTGTGAAGGTCCACTGCACTAATGTATATGGAAGCTCTTTATAAGTGATAAAGTGTTATGAAAATGTACATGATTTTGATGACTGAATACAGTGCATTAGATGTTTATTCTTATTTTGTGATGAAATATTGGAATGGTGGTGGAAGATCATCTGTTAAGTGGTCGGAAGAGGAGGTCGTTTTATATTTGCAGAAAGGATGATTTGAGTACTAAAGTATAAAGCTTTTTCTGCTTCAGAGGTACTTCTGGGTGTCATCACTATGTAGGGTCACAGTGTTATTATTTTTTGAAAGATCACTGCAGTCCTGCCCTTTATTACTACTCTGAAGTGATTAAAACAGGTACTAGTTTTCAACGTTTAGCAGGGAGCTGTAAAGCCTCATATGGCATAATATATGAAAACTAGAACAAGAACATCATTTACCTGTAATTGTAACTTGCAGGAAATTAATTTGCTTTTGATGTGGGATTATCCTTTCAGATCGAGGAAGAAAATGATCATTTAAATTGACTTATTCACCTCTGAAAGTGGAGGCTTTCATTTAGAAATCTATTAAGAGGAATTCAGGTACTCCCTCCTCCAGCCCCGTGGGTTTCCAAGTAATTTAGAGATGATTTATTGGTTTTACTTTTGTATTTTCAAGTCTAAGAACTTCTTAGTGCCTTAAAGTCAAAACCTTTTAGATCCATGTTAGTTTGTGTTGCTTAATATCTGGATAGGTGTGTGCTTTCATGATTTAATTGTTAAGTAGATTTTTGCCACATCTCAGATATGCTATCTTCTACCAGATTTTTTGAGGGCATAATGTCTTCTCTTCATACCTAAACATTTCTCTAGCTTTTGTCTCCTTATTCACATAGTTATTAAAAGATGTTTATTGGGTGCTTAGTGTGTGCCAGGTACTTTTGTTAAACACTAGGGATTCAAGATAGTTTTGCAGGTGAATTCCCTAATGGCGCAGTGGTTAAGAATCCTCCTGCCAATGCAGGGGACATGGGTTCAAGCCATGGTCCAGGAAGATCTCTCATGCTGCGGAGCAACTAAGCCCGTGCACCACAACTACAGAGCCTGCGCTCTAGACCCCATGCTCCGCAATAAGCGAAGCCACTGCAATGAGAATCCCGTGCACCGCAACAAAGGGTAGCCCCCTCTCCCCGCCACTAGAGAAAGCCCGGACGCAGCAACCAAGACCCAACGCAGCCTAAATAAATAAATAAATTTATTAAAAAAAAAAAAGACAGTTCTGCAGGGGAGAGATCACTAAGCAGGTAATTATGATACACTGTGGAGGGGAAGTAATTAAGGGAGGTATAGCAGAAGTAAATAATTTCTAGTAAGTAACAATTGCAAGTAGGATATGCTTCTTCTAGAATTTTACGTAGTTTTATCAATCACGTTCTTACTCTTTGTGGGGACACAGAGGGAGGGATTCCTAACCTAGTGGTGTGTGCGTTTTGTGTGATGCGGAGGAGGATTGTCAGTGAAGACTTCTTGAGGCTTCAACTAAAGTAGGACCTGCCAATTGTAAGATAGAGTGGGACAGCTTTTAAGTACAGTGAGGCAACGTAGAAATTGGCTTTGGAAAGGGGGAGGAAATTGGATTTCAGGGGTTGCTGCTGCTCCTGAAAAGTCTGCGTCCCGAGTAGGTGAGCAGTAGGGAGATAGGTTCTTCCAGGGGGTCATTTGAAGAGGCTGCTCTAAGACAGGAAATAAGGTATCATGCAAGAGATACTTCTGTGTGCTGTGCTAATTTCCAGGAAGCTTGTTATATCTCGTTCCTTTGGATATTCTGATCATCATTCTTTCCTTCTCCTTTCAGTGGTGATTTGCAAGTCAAGTTAAAATGTCTCCGGAAGTGGCCTTGAACCGAATTTCTCCAATGCTCTCCCCATTCATATCTAGCGTGGTCCGCAATGGGAAGGTGGGACTGGATGCTACAAACTGTTTGAGGATAACTGACTTGAAATCAGGGTATGTACCAGAACCAATCCAAGCTTTAGCTAATTGCAAACCTTTCTCACCAGGCTTGTAAAAATTGAACACCACAGAAATTCATCAAGTCATGACCTTATCACGTGTTGACTGGTTTTGTCCAGTTCTTGACATTTTATGTTTCAAGTTGTTTTAGCTGTGCTGTGGGCCATCGCTTTATGATCAGAATGTTCTTTTTTTTTTTTTAAAGGCATATCTCTTTGTTAACAGCATGCCGTGTGGTTTTTAGCAAGTGTGTTTTTCATCATTGACTTGTTTTCTTGCTGTGTCTTCTGCAATTCAGTATGCACTGTAAGAGTTGGGATTTGAGATTGTGAATCTGACATTATTTGATAGTCTCTCCTAATAGGAAAATTATAATAGCTAGCCCAAAATGAGGCATTTTTCACAACTGAGTTGAAACAGTAATATCTCAGGCCAGAAATGTTGCATTAAAGTCCCAACTTTTTCCAAGGGGGGAAAGCGGGGGGTGGGGGGTGGGATGAACTGGGAGATTGGGATTGACATATATATACTAATATGTATAAAATAGATAACTACTAAGAACCTGCTGTATAGCACGGGGAACTCCACTTCTCTGTACAGTAGAAACTAACACAACATTGTAAAACAACTATACCCCAATTAAAAAAAAAACAAACCCAACTTTTTATTTTGAAATACATTTACTTAAAGAAAAGTTACAAAAATGCTACAGAAAATTAGCATCATTACATGCTGATAATTACTCTGTAAGCCTTATTTGAATTTTGCCAGTTTTCCCATTAATGTCCTTTTTTGGTCCAGGATCCAATCCAGGATACAAATTGCATTTACCTGTGACAGTTCCTGTCTTTCTTTGTCTTTCATGATTTTGAAGCTTTTAAAGGTAGCACTGGTTAATGTTGCTCAGTACAGGTTTGCCTAATGTCTTCCCTATATTAGAGTGAGAAACACATTATTTTTCCACCCAAGAATACTACAGAAGAGATGTTGAACCATTTTCAGTGCATCAAATCAGGGAGTACATGATGTTCATAAGTCTAGTTATTGGCATATTAACTTTGACCACTTGGTTAAGATTGTGTGTACCAGGTTTCTCTACTGTAAAGTTAACTGACTTTCCCTTTGTAATTTGTAAGTGTCTTGTGGAGTGACATTTTGAGACTGTGCAGATGTTCTGTTTCTCATCATACTTTTGTCCATTAATTTCAGCATCCATTAATTGTTCTTGCCTGCAATAATTGTTACTGTGGTTCTTGTATAAGGGTGATTTTTAATGTCCCTATTCCTCCCACATTTAGTAATTTGAATTCTGTAAAGAAGCACTATTCCTTCCCACCCCCCAATTATTTATTTATTCTGTTATTTATTTATGTCAGTATGAAATTTTAGGTATTTATTTTATTCTTTTGGTTATAATCCAAATACTATATTCATTTATTTTTTTGGCTCAGTTGTTCTAGTCTTTGTCACTGAGAGCCCTGTCAAGTTGGCTTTTGAGCATATCCCCATCATTTTTTGAGCATTTTCTTACTAGAAACATTACATTCTTGATTCTTTTAGCTTTTGTTTTTTAAGCTCTTTTGTTTTTGCCTTCTGCAAATCTTGCTATTTTCAGACTAAGCTGAAGACCTTGATATAAGGTAGTAAGTTAGAGAAGACTAGGTTAGTTGGACATTTTATTGGAATGGTAGGCTGCTTTTTAAAAGATCTGGTATTACCTTCAGTTTAATTAATCAGCAGGCCTGGGGTTTCCTTTTGGGGTGATGAAAATGTTCTAAAATTAGTTAGTGGTGATGGTTACACAACTCTGTATATATACCAAAAAATGACGGATTTATTCACCTGTAAGGGTGAATTTTATAGTTCGTGAATTGTATCTCATTAAAGTTGTCATTAAAAAAAAACACATCTGTGTACCAGGGATGTTTACTGGCTTGAATGGCTAGGACACGCAAAGAGGTCTTTTTTCTTTAGTTTGTCACAAACATTCTTTTCAGAGGTATTGAAGACGTGAGAGGGGACTGATGGCCAGAGGACTGGGGACTGGTTTATGTAAGATGATATAAACATGTAAACCTGAACTTCCTACTCTTTTATTGGTATTCTGAGAGAACAGTTGGATTCATCAACATAAGGTCACTTTACTTTTTTGTAGACTCCCTTTTCGGTGCTTCCCAAATCCTGAATGTTTAGTTGAGTGTTTAAATGCAAATAGTGGATCTGATGATCAATTTGAAGTGAATCCACTAAACCTGGCTGTGTCTGGACTAGCTCTGTGAAAAATATTTGAAACAGTGTTTAATGACATGTAGTATTTATGGAATTTACTTTCTTTCAATTTAAAAAAAGAATAAAAATACCTCTACCTACATTAACGAAGCTGCTACACATAAAATGATGTGAAAAGCCTTGTTAATCTAGAGCATTATTGATGCCTTTTATGTAGTACTTGGCTGAAAGATTCATGAAAGTTCTTTCGAAGCTCATTAACAATTCTTTCCTCAGTCCTTCCGTCAACCAAAGTGTGAATTCCTCAAGTTTCTATAGCAAAACAATGGCAGAGTTAGAGAAGAGAATTGTTTTCTTTTGGTGTGTCACTTTTGGCATTTCCCTTTCTTTTAGATCAGCAGCACTAAGTTATGAGAATTGGGATTAACATTTGGAATTTCTATTAACTCAAATGGCGCATGCCCTGTAGGACCCAGTGTACACGGAAGGTATAAAATGAGGAGACTGATTTTTAGAGGTCATAAGAACCAGTCTTGTTACTATATATAGCCACTTGCCCTTGAAGAGATGAGGTACCAGAGTATCTATATTCTAGGTCTGACTCACAGAAGGAATAGATAGGCAAGAATCTATGCAAAGTAAGTTTTGTTTGTTTTTTAATCGCAATTCATCTTTATTTCTCTTATGGCAACTAAATCTTTCTACCTTATGTAAGATTATGTGTGTTTCTAAACTCCGTTGCTAGGCTGTCAGTATTAAGGCCAGGATTCTTGTTTAATTAATTAATTTTTTTATACTCTTTTTTAAAAAAAATTTTTATTTGTTTTTGGCTGCATTGGGTCTTCATTGCTGCATGTGGGCTTTCTCTAGTTGCGGCGATGGGGGGCTACTCTTCGTTGTGGTGCGTGGGCTTCTCATTGTGGTGGCTTCTCTTGTTGCGGAGCACAGGCTCTAGGAGTGCGGGCTTCAGTAGTTGTGGCATGCAGGCTCAGTAGTTGTGGCTCGCGGGCTCTAGAGCGCAGGCTCAGTAGTTGTGGCGCACGGGCTTAGTTGCTTCGTGGCATGTGGTATCTTCCTTGACTAGGGAGCGAACCTGTGTCCCCTGCATTGGCAGGCGGATTCTCAACTATTGCGCCACCAGGGAAGCCTTGCCTGTCTTTTAAGTGGATTGTTTATATATATTTTTATTGATCTTAAAATATTATTTATGTATTTTGGATACTAATCTTTAGGCAGTTACATATATTACAAGTATCTGCATTTAGTCTGTGGCTTATGTTCTTAATTTGGTGCTGTTGATGTCCAGAAGTTTTAATTTAATGAAGTCAGATTCATCAATATTTTCCTTTTTAGATTTGTGCCTGTGTGTGTGTGTGTGTGTGTATTTGTAAGAGAGAGAAAGGGACCACTTCAGGAAATTCTGTCCTACACAAAAGTAATATATTTTTCTCTAAGAATTTTAAAGTTTTCCTTTTTTTTTTTTTTTTTTTTTTTGTGGTACGCGGGCCTCTCACTGTTGTGGCCTCTCCCATTGCGGAGCACAGGCTCCAGACGCGCAGGCTCAGCGGCCGTGGCTCACGGGCCCAGCCGCTCCGCAGCATGTGGGATCCTCCCGGACCGGGGCACGAACCTGTGTCCCCTGCATTGGCAGGCGGACTCTCAACCACTGCGCCACCAAGGGAAGCCCTAAAGTTTTCCTTTTTTGGTCTTTAAATAGGAATTTATTTTTTCTGTAAAATATATTGTGAGATAGGAGTATAGTTTTTTCCCCCAATGGATAATTGGTTGTCCCAGCATCATTTATTGAAAAGGTCATCCTTTGCCTATGGCTCTGCAATACTACCTCTCTTATTAAGTCAAGTTTACATCACTCATGGATCTGTCTCTAGGCTTTCTGTCCTGGTCAGTCAGCCTCCTTGTCCTGTGCCAGTTCCCACTGTATTAACCATTACAACTTTGTAGTGTGTCATGATAGCTGGTAGAAAAATTTCTCCTCATCCATCTTATTCTAATACTTAAAACTTGTCTTGCTTAACCATATATCCTAAATATTTTTTGATAACCTCATTTATTTTATTATATATTGTTTTGGCCATGACACGTGGCATGTGGGATCTTAGTAACCTGACCAGGGATTGAACCGTGGGCCATGGCAGTGAACGTGCTGAGTCCTAACCACTGGACCACCAGGGAAGTCTCAATAACTTCATTTACATGGTTGCATACTGTTCTATTATGTTGTACTGTAATTCATTGAACAAAACCCCCTCTTTTTAACTCATGGAGGAAAGGAAATGAAGGGAAACTGACCTGGTGAGGGGCTAGTTGAGAATTGATGGTTAGAAAAGCTCTCTATGAGGAAATGACATTTAAAGGTGAATCATGAAAGATGAGGATAATTCAACGAAGAGCTGGGGAATTTGCTGTAAAAAGGGAATACCATGTTCAAAGGCAGGAGAAAGCTTCCCATGTTCAAGGATCTGCAAGGCCACTGTGGTTGGACTATAGGGAGGGAGTGTGAGAGGCAAATGAGATTCTAAAGATAGTCAGGGGCCAGATTATACAGAGCCCGGTGGGCCATATTTGGGGACTTGGATTTTATTCTGGGTGGAATGGGAAGCTATTGAAGGATTTTAAGCAGAGTGACATGATCTTATTTATATTAAAAAAAAAATCACTGGTTGTTATATGGAAAATGGCTTGTGCAGTATAAGGTAGACTAGTTAGCTGTCCATTACAGTAGACCAGGTGAGAGACGGTGGAGT